GGGAAAACAAGAAAGCCACCTGCTAAAGAATGAAACTAGACTGTTGTCTATCACCACACACTAAAATTAATTCAAAATGGATTAAGGACCTGAATATAAGACCTGAAACAATAAATTGTATAAAAGAAAACATAGAAACTAAACTCATGGACTCTGGACTTAAGTAGGATTTTAAGAATTTTACCTCAAAGGCAAGGGAAGTAAAAACTAAAAGAAATGAATGGGACTACATCAAACTAAAAAGCTCTACACAGCAAAAGAAACTGTTGTCAAGGTAAAGAAACAACCATCTGAATGGGAAAATATATTTGCAAGCGGTGCCTCCGAAAAGGCCTAATATCCATAATATACAAAGAACTCATACAACTCAATAACAAAAAACAAACGATCCAATAAAAAAAAATGGGAAGAGGACCTGAACAAACACTTTTCCCAAGAAGACATACAAATGGCTAACAAACATATGAAAAGATGTTCAACATCGCTAGCTATTAGGGAAATGCAAATCAAAATCACAGTGAGATACTATCTCAAGCCTGTTATAATAGTTGTTATCAACAGGACAATTTATAACAAGTGTTGGAGAGGATGAGTAGAAAAAGGAACACTCATACACTGCTGGTGGGAATACAAATTTTCCAAAGTAATACAGCCACAATTAAAAACAGTATGGACATTCCTCAAAAAAGTAAGAATTGATCTACCATATAATCCAGCAATCCTTCTACCTGATATTTACACCAAAGACTTGAAAACCCATATCCAAAAAGATATCTACACACAGACATTCGTAGCAGCATTGTTCAAGGTGACCAGGACATAGAAGCAATCGAAGTCTCCTACAATAAATGATTGGATAAAGAAGCTATGGTACATATATACAATGGAATATTACTCGGCCATAAGAAGAGATGAAATAGTGCCATTTGCGACAACATGGATGGACCTTGAGATAATCATGCTAAGTGAAATAAGCCAAAAAAAAGTTTGAAATCCAGATATCACTTACATGTGGGATTCGAAGCTAAAAACAAACAAACAGGACAGACAAGCAGAGACTCATTGACATGGATAATAGGCTAGTGTTTACTAGAGGGTTATGGGAAGGTAGATGGTGTGAAAGGGGTCAAATATGTGGTGACAGAAAGAAATCTAACTATGGGCGGTGAACACACAATGCAATATATATATGTCTTTCTGTTGAATTGTACACCTGAAACTTACTGGATTTCATTAAGCAATGTCACCATAATGAAAATAAATAAAAAATAAACAAATAAATAATATTAAATAAAGAGAGAAAAAATAAAAAATAAAAAGAATAATGGTTGATTTTAGAAAATATAAGAGAAAAAATACCCTCTCTCATTTTCTAAGGCCAGTACATCATGGATATCTAAAGCATAGAAGTTTAGAAGAAGAAATCACAGGTACTCTCACTCCTACAAAATTACTAACAAAATTTCACAAAATCCAATGTAACAAAGAATATAAATGAGTACCACCCTCTGCCATATTGAATTTTGCTTCCGGAATATGAGGGTTTTTGTTGTTGTTTTTCCA